AGACTTGTTGAAGAAAAGGAGTTTTTGTAAGAGCAATTATCTACATTTTTAAGGAATCCTAATAGTTTGAGATATAAGACTGAAAGTATTAAGAAAAAAGTTGATTTGATACATAAAATTTTTGAACTTAAGAAAAGGATTTATGAGTTTGAGAAGATCAATGGTTCTGAACTTGGAACAAATAACGTTGAGTTTTCAAAGAAAATTTCTGAACTTAAAAAGGTTCTAGATACTAAAAGAAAGGACTTTGAGAAATAGGGAAATGGTTTTGAAAGCAAAATTAAATCTTTTGAGATGACTACAGTCAAGCTTTCTAAACAAGTTTCAGATTTTGAAAAGATTGTTATGTTGGAAAGAAGCAAGTTTGAGATGGAAAGAAAAGAGTTTGAAAAGAAAAGTTTGGTGTTCACTAAGCAACTTTCTAATCTTCAGAAATCTTTGGAAAATGAAAGATAAGTGTTTAAAGTGAAAAGAAAGTGTTCATGAAGAAGGGTGTTGGATTATTCATAAAAATATCAGATAAAAGGAAAAAGTTAGAAATTTATTTTGAAGATGAGAAGAAAGTTTTTGAGAATGAGATTGTTAAGCTTTCAAAGAAATTATCTGTCTTAGAAACAGATCTTGTGACTGGGCAGAAAATAAGATCTCAATTTCAAACAAAATTTGATTTAAGTAATGTAGAAAGAAATGTTTTATCTGACAAAATCAAAGAACTTGAATAGATAATTTTCAAAACTAAGCAGATAGTTTTAGAGAATACAGTCGAGGTTGACATCTCTGGACAGCTTAGTCCCGATACTACTGTTCTTTCGCTATATAATGATTCAACTAACACTTATTCTGTTTTCTCTTATAAAATTTCTTCAAGTTCAATTCATAAAATTGATCCATTCTCTCTAAGCAGTTTTTGTAAGAATAACTATTCTACAAGTGTCAAATCAAACAGTTATTTTAATAGATACTCCAAATCAAATATTTTTTCAAGATATTAGACTCATAATTCTAATCAGTTTCACAATGATTCTGTTGCTGGTTTAGGTAATCAATTTTAGAAAGTTAAAATGGTTTGGAGGAAGAAATCAACTACAGAGGATTGTGATGGAAACAAGCCATATAAATCTTCTATAGTTGATACAAGATCATTTGTATCCAAGACTGATTTCCCTTGTTTTGTCAAGTCTATCAATAAGCTAACCAGTCTGAGCCAAGAAAATTCGGGGTATTCAACTTGTGGAACGAATGCTTTTGTAAATCAAAGGTATGTGAACAAATGGTTTGGTACTTATAGTATTCCTAATTTCCAGACTCATAGCTTCAAAGCAAAAGCTAGCCTCCAAGGACCCATTAAATGTTAGGTACCAAGATCTTTCAACAACCATGATATTTCAATCCAATAAAATTACTTGTGTTTGTTTCTATTATGATTTTAAATCAATCATTGAATTACCATATGTTATATAATTTTGACTTAGTTATTTCCATGTCTCATATATTCACTGAAATTTTCAGTGGAAATACACTCGTTTGAAATCTTAATTGTTTTCATTGTGCGTCATTTCATATCAATGATTCAATTCTTATTTATATTAACAATTAAATTTTATGATCATTGAATATTTGTTGTAAACAGTGAGCATAATGAGTCATTTTGTTTAGCATTTGAATTTCTTTCTTTAACAATTCTAAACATATATTTTCATGTTTAGCTTCTGAACACCTCAGTTCAGAATCTACTATATATTTCTTTTTATCTTATAGACACTTCAGTTTAGAACCCGCACTTCATTATTTTAACTCATGAATAATTCATTTCAGAACTCGGACATCATTGTTTTCCTGAGCTTCAAAGAATATATCTTAATGTGTACTATTTTTTGAGTGCTAAGAATATAGAAGTTTAATGGTCAATCCAGAGCCGAAAGAACCTACCTATGAAACACATCCCTAGGTTAGATATATTCTGGAAGGGAGTGTTTGAGGTAACATGTTAAGAGATTGAGTGTTTGTGAATTAAAAGAAAACGGTGAGAATGTGATAGGACTAAAAGAAATAAATATAGTCCTTTCTAAACGAAAACAATTATCCAAATAGCCACAAAATCTATTAATTCTCATTCCAAAATGAATATTAAAACAAACATGGACCAAATGTTGACTACTCGTGTCACCCCATCTAGTCACTCAAGTATCTTACAAAAGGTGTTTGTTTCATATATCACGAAGAATTAGCATATGATCTATTTATTCTTCATTTGGAAGATTTAGATATTGAAACAAGAAGATGCACATCCGGTCTTCGAACTTCATATTCTATGCACATTGATTTTATTTTGAGCCATGTCATCATGATAAAAATATTTTCCTTGACACATTCACGAGTCTTTGTGACTCCCATTACATATCTGTGTGATTATGCCAGAACAATTTTAGAAGTTAGTTTTATAACTTTACTTCAGAGATAAATGAAAGTCCTATCAGAGAGTCATTATTTCCAACTCTGAAAATAGGCCACTCAATTGAATTTATTTCTATTGCAGAGATAACAGTTATTAAATGTGTTTCTCTATGTTACATGATTACCCAGTTTTCAAGGGGGAGAGATTGACGGTAACGGTATTATCTTTTCATGAAGGGGAAATTTGTTTGGAAAAGATCTATTTTTAAGGGGGAGAATATTTTAATCGTCTAAAGAAGAGAATTTGTTTTGTCTAAAGGGGGGGAGATTAACTGAAAATGTTTGAGAAAATCTCATTCATTTGTACAGAAGGAGTATATCTGAAAAAATATTTGTTTACTGATATCTATTGTTCATAAGGGGAGAAATTCTAGTCTTTGGTGATTCTTGATGTTCAGGATTCTCCTAATCATCATGGGGGGAGAAATAATATCAAACACATTATGCAAAGAGATGAAGAGTTAAAAGACATGGAGAGAAGATGTTATCTGGGAGAAACAATATTGAATTCAAAGACAAGTGAAGCAAGTGTTGATGCCAAGAGGAAGATTACAGATGTTCTTTAATAGGTATTTTGTTGATTTAGTGTATGAAAGAGATGGTTGAATCTTTTGAATCTAAGGTTGAAAGCCATTGAGTTTAAAGATTGTAGATGTGATAACTTATTAGATAGCGTGTTGACATATTTGTTAAAGATTCGGTGGGCTTACAAGACAAAGTATTTGAAGAAGTTCGTTGACAAACTTGGATCATGATATACAGGTGTTGAGCATAGTACTTGTAGCGTCAAAGCTTCAAGCCTAAATGCTAAAGCTTATTTGTTGACTGAAACTGATTTGTTGAAGATCTGTTGACTGTTGAAGTTTGAAAACTGTTCTAAAGCATTTGAAGATTGTTTCAAAGTGAAGATCTTGATTTGAAGAATATATTTGTTAAAAAGGGGCGACTGTTGTTTTTCAAATTCGTCTTTCAAAGAGTGACAAAATTTGATCTTCTTCATTGGGGAGATTGTGGGTTGTTTTGAAGAATGTGATCTCGAATACAAAGGGGGAGATTATTTAGGTCAAATATTATTGCATCTGAGATCACCGAATTATGAAGACAATTGTTGAAGATGGGAAGATCAAAGCTTAAAGTCAACATAGTTAACATTGTGTTAGTTTGTAGTTTGACTTGTATATTTAGTCAATCATATAAATAATGCTTGTTGATGGTAGATTGTTGTAAGAACTTAAAACGTGCTGATGATTTGATATCTAGAGAGAGAAGTTAGAGAGAGAAACATGTATTGAAAGAGTTTATCAATATGCATGATGATTTGATATCTAGATTGTTGTTCTTGATTGTTTAATTCATTGTTATCTTATTAGAACTAGGATTCACAGTATGTTATTATATACCCATGACATGTGTCATACAAGAATACTATTTGAGTATGTAAGCATACAGGGTTGCACACAATGAATATGTTTGCCTCCATTTGTAGAAACCCAAGTTAAATCAAGTTCATTGTAGAAATAATTATTCTTAGATGATAATTATGAAAATATATGTTAAAATATAATTATGATTACAGGGTATTATCTATAAATCTATATAACTATGCTAAAATTTAAGATAATTATGAAAGTATTACAGATAATTAAAATCCTTATTTCGAATAATAGTTTATCTATAATTCGAACCATATAAATAAGATGATAGGCTAAATCAGTTTCTCAGTGATTGAACCAATTAGATTTAGCCTTCAAAAAAGAATACAGAAAAGAAACCTTTTTCTTTTTTGTAATATATATATATATATATATATATATATATATATCTATACTACATTAATAAGCATTTAGACCTATATCTTAAGTACAAGTTTTAAAGCTTAGAGTACCATCATTTTATGCAACAAATTTAAAAAACTCTTAATTACAAATTATTATGCATAATGTACAAGTTGTTTATGCAATAGTTTTCAAACACCAAAAATTACCCATTTTGGACCGGTTTCTTCTTCAAGTTTCCTTCTTTTCTTTCTCCTACCTCTGCGACCACCAAGACCAAAAAATTTCTTYTCTTATGTATCCTTTGTCTGCGACCAACAACATTTTGGGTTAGAAAGCAGAGGGTCTTTCTTCTTCACAGACCTCATTTGGCATAACAATGGTGGTAGATGTTTCATTTCACTGCCTCCAAGCCCAACGACCGGCTCTCTCTATCGCACGCGATTCAGTCTCCAAGATTTCCCCAAGCAGCAGACAATTCCTTTTTCCTAAGCAACGATTCAGGCATTCATACTCTCGAGATGCAAGTTTTATTTGTGGTTATCACTCGAGGACATAAATCAGGTATACCATCGATTTAGGTTTGATTTTGTTCCCCTCGCTTCTCTGTTTGATTTCATATCAATTCATA